ATAAATTACAAGGAGGCCATGGCCCTCTGCCAGAAGGATTCACTGAGCAGCCTCCTGCTGCTCCCAGCCGCGTCGGAGGGGTATCAGCGGTACCACCAGGCAAGCCGTTCCCCCAAGCTCTCCCGGTTCAGGCATTGAATGGATTCAGGCATGTACTAGACGTGGTTCCTTCAGGAGTTCATCCCTTCAAAACACCTCTCCCCACGGAGGCAGCAGCGATCACGGGGACGGAGCGTCTAGCATTTAGGTCTGCATACTCTTCTGTCTTAGCTACCTGCTTCCCAACGCAGCTTGGCCATGTGAGGAAGAAAGTGTGACCATGAGTGTGTAAGGGCCGGGCACACAGCGGTCCCCGCAGTCCCCAGGGTGCTGCTGTGACAGCAAAGGGGGGTTGACTGCGAGAGCTCCGCTGGCAGTAGGTTAAACGTGGTTATGTCCAGAATGGGGGAGAGCCAGAGGGTTTTCCAGTTGGGTCGTTCTTCTGCATGCAATAAACGTAGAAAGTGTGTCTCCGTGGCTGTGTCGTCTCTGTCGGCTGAGGGCATGGCTAGTCCTCCCCCCGTGCAATCCTGTGCCTTGCAGCCCGATCTACAAAGGGTTTGCAGACTCTTGCTCCCTCTGATCTCACAGCACTGAACCCCCTAAATTTCTTTCTGCACGCAAGTCCGTATTTTTAAAGAATTTGTTATATTTGTCTTTAAAACTGACAACCAACGGGACTTTGCTCCCTGGGCAATTGGACACCTCTGAAAGAGGGACTTGGTCACCAAAGGATGCCGTTCCATGTTGCATTTGATCCAAGTGCAGGCAGCTACCGAATGGAGCAGTCCCCTGTCCTCTCCAGCTGCCTGTCCCTGGTGCCTCTTGGGCTGCAGACCAGTGACGGTGGTGGCTGCACAATGACTTGGGACGCTTCACTGAGCTGCTGGCAGAGGAAGCCAAGCCCCAAGCAAATCCAAACCCTACTGAAGCAGATGATTTCGGGGGCTTGTCCTGTACCTAAACAGAGGCAGATGTGTTGCAAGGGAAGGGATGACCTTCAACAGCAGACTGGTGATGCTTGTGGTCAACTGTGATGTGAAACTGCTTTCTACAGCCCTTGGCCTTGGCTGCAGGATCCGCCCAGCAGTACTGGAAAATCTGCATTTGCTATTTCTTTAGGTGAGCTTTCACTCCTCTGTGTAGCTGCCACTGCTCAGCCCTTGCTGAAACGTGCAAGTCTCATCTCCCAAATGTTCTCCCCTGCATCTACCCCTCTGTGGAGCATCCCCTGGCTTTTTGGGATGAGAAAAATGACTTTCTATTGACATGAGCTGCTTTTCTCCCCTCTCCCGAGAGCTCTTTTAGCTGATGCTGTTTGGGAACTCCAGCACATCCAAAATAATCCATAAGGGTAGAGGTTTTCTCCCCTTCCTTCCCCCAGCAGAGGCACCATAGCCTGGTTTGAAGTCTGGGCTCCAAGAAATTGTTCCCATGCTGGCAAGCTCAGCACAGACATAGAATCATAGAATCATAGAATGGTTAGGGCTGGAAGGGACATTCAAAGGTCATCTAGTCCAACCCCCCTGCAAGGAACAGGGATATCTCCAACTAGATCAGATTGCTCAGGGCCCTCGTAACAGTCACAGGTCCCGTTACTTTCCTGCTGGTACGTAGTGCTCAGCATTAACAATCCGAGTCCACCTATGGAAACACCAAGCTTCCAGTCCAAGATCTGCCCAGGCTCTGTCCCGTGCTCTGCAGGGTCTGTGTTTGTTGTCAGGCCTGTGGCTGGTGTCTGTGGCCATCTCAGCTGCCGTGATCAATACGGGGCAATTTGTTGGTTTACAACAGGGAAAACTGCTGCACATACCCCAGAACACCCGTTCCCAGCCTGTTTCCTCTTGGTAGAGTACTGCTGGCACACGGGGCACTGCATCCTGCTCCTGGCTGGTCTGGACCAGCAGCAAGGGCTGGAGCTGGGCTGTGATGGACCAGGGGACACAGCAGGAGAGAAACTCTGGCCTGGCCTCCTGCCAGGGCAAGCCCAGCAGCCCTCGGAGCACAGAAACACAGCCAGGTGAGGATCAGCTCTGGATCAGTGTGGTTCCCAGCAGTCCTCAGGTCCCAGCTCTTTAAAGCTGCTGGGTGCAGCCTTGCTGTGCTTTGGCTTTGCTCCTCTCGCTGACTGAAATCAGGGAGGATCCACCAGCAACAGGGCTTCTGCCTTTCCTGCAGCTGGGATCTATGTGATGGGTGAGTTTGCTGGCTCTTGGGCTGCCCTCCTCCCAGCTGCTCCCCTTGCAAACAAGATAAAACGGCGCTTGTTTTTAAAGTGGTGTGATGTTCACGTGGTGACTCTTTCCTAAAGTGCTGATTAAATAGTTCTGAGGAATGCTGTGTAACTAAGGCGCTTGGAGTTCTGGTAATTAGGCAGCCAATTAATCATGTTGGATAAAGCGCTCCCTAACTGTGTGGTGGGAGGAATTTACTCAGGGCTGGGTGAAGGGGTTAAGAGACGATCAGGTGGCTGAGCAGTCCCCCTTGAAGGCCAGCCCTGCCTTTTGGTTCTGGAACAAAAAAACACCATCTTTTTCTTTGCTATCAAGTGGTCCTCATCTGCAGAAAGCAGCTCCTATTGTGTCCGCTTGATGTGTCCATAGGAAGCACCACGTGGCCATGGGGCTTCCCCAGAGCCCAGCCGCCCTGCAGGGTGGTGAGTTGCTCAGGAGGAGCCAGGCAGTGGTTTTCCTCCCTTCTGGGTACAGGATGATGGGGCTGCATCGTGGCTTTCCCAGAGCGGTTACTTCGACACAGCTGGTGCTGGTTCCCTTTGCTGGCAATGGGGTTGGGTCATAAATGTTTGAAGTTCAGCCTGTTGCTTCACTTTGTTGGGCTAGATGAGCTGTAGTATTTTTATTCATGTTTCTGGAGTGGATGAATGTCCTTGGTATTTATTTCTTAATGCAAGACTTAAAAAAAAACCCACAAAACAACAAACCAACAAATGCTTCTGCAAACAGCTTGTCTGGTACAACACGAGCATTTGTTTGCATAGAGGAAACAATGGAGCATTGTCTGTACAACATGAATGGACTTTAAAACATGTATGCAAAGGCAGGGAAATGATTCCTACAGCAGAATTCGTCCATGTCTCCCAAACGTCCCCCTGTGAGCTGGGTGTTATCATACAGAGGCCGTGAGATGCTGCAGGAGAACAGCAGGGCTTCAGTTTTCCTGCCACATGGCTCTCCAGGCTGCTGCATGAGCCCAGCTCCCTGCTCAGCCAGAAAACTATCCCTCTTGAACATGCACAGGCCAGCTTTTTCCAGGCCTCCACTCCAGCATCACTCCTAACAACAGCTTTAAAAGCAAAGCAACCCCCACCTGCCCCCCAAAAACCCTAATTTGTGCAAATTGCAGAGGCACGTGAGCTCCCCAGGTCCCCTGGTGGCTTCTAAACCTGCAGAGGAAGTACAGGCAGGCGGCGTGGCAGGGCTCGGGGGGAAGTGAGAAACAGGTGCCAGGGTTTCGCTGTCAGGGATCTGGCAGGAGGCACAGCTGTTACAATAGGGATGACAAAAGTCTTTTTGATGACAGGAATTCAGCAGAACCACCTGCCACCTTTTGCTGGGTGAGAAGGAAGCCAAAGGACAACAGAGTATGGCTTTAGACAGGTCTTGGGCTGAGAGGGGCTTTTTCAGGGGGAAATTCTAAAGGTTTCTCTTCCCTGTGCAAACTCTCTGGTCCCTAGCAGGTGGGGAGAGAGGTTTGCACTACGGCCATGTTTGCAGATGCCTCTCTCCTTTACTGCATCATTTATCTGTGATGAGACTCAAGGAATGTGATAGCTTTTGAGAGCTGTCAGGTTGTGCTGAAATCAGTTCTTAGGAGGGCACATGTGTTCGAAAAACAGGAGTACAGAAGTTTCACTTCATTAAGTTAAAAATCTTTCTTTTGGATATTTAAATAAGTAGAACGTAACTCTGGACTGGTTTGTCACGACCTCTGATGGAAAGCAAGCCCACCTTACCATACCAAAATAGCACTGAGCTACACAACCATCAGCCCCTCGTTCCACAACAGAATTGGGAGTACGTTCTGCACCTGTCTGGGATTTGGGCTGGAAAGGATAAAAGAAAGAGTGCGAGAGATGATGAAGAGAGAAGAGCTCTGTGGAAAAAAGGACCAGCCAGGCTGTCCTGCGTCACTAGCCCGATGGGCCGTGCCAAACCATAAACACCGAGGTTTCCCAACAAATGACAAGCCTTTATTTTTTTCTGTACTGAAAGAAAAAAAATGAAGATGTCCACAGCACACCAAAAGTTAGTGACAATTCTCCAAACATTTGAACAGCAAAAACATTTCCAAGACAATAAAGTGAAGGAAACAGTTGTGCCTCTGGAGAGATGATGGAAAGCTGAAAGCTGTTACTGTTTCCAGTCATGTGCAACGCGTGGATTTTCTGGCTTCTTGGTCCCAGCTAAGGCACAAATTAAGACACCCGACAGTGCTCTTCAGCTTGTGAAACAGCAGAACGTCAGCTCTGTTAAACAGCTCAGCTGAAACGACTCGTGCAGTGCTGACAAGCCCGGCCTTTGGTAACAGCAGCACGGGGCAGAGCAGAGAAGCTCTCCCCTACCCGAGGTGGAGCTCCAGCACACCCTGGTGTCAGAAACTGCCATCGACAGACCTGAGGATGTGCTGGGGAGACAGAAATCCCTCTGTGTCACCTTAGTTCGCTGGCTAATGATAAGACAACCTTCCGAAAGACACTCTCCTGTCTACGTTTCAGTGTTTTAGGCTGATAAACAGCCCCCACTCTTTTGCACACGACCTTTTCAAAACAGCTCTGCTAGCTGTAACGCAGACAAACTTTCCCCAGCAACAGGCCATGAGTCTCTAAACGCAAGAACATCCCTGTCCAGGCTCTCAGAAGAAGCCAGCCCCCTGCTAAGTGCCCCCAAGCAGATCTGCACTGCTACCTGGAGGTGCAAGTGCAGGGGGAGAGCTGTGTCTTCTCATTTGCAGCGTTTCTGCAGTGCACGTCGTTCTTCAGGGCTCCGAGAGCTTCTCCAGAAGTATTGGTGATCGAGGGCTGCCTTGGCTGAGATGCGTCTGCTGGGATCATACAGGAGCAATTGCTGCCAACAGAAAAACCCAGCAGATTTAGGCTTGTAAAAAATAAATCATCGATTGCACCTGCACACAGCTAGGAGCAGATGCAGATGTTGATCCTGTCTTTTCCCCTCTCTGAGCTTCGGGAGTAACCCACCGCTGAAGTTACTGCGTGGATTACGCTAGAGGTAATCCAGTGGTTTCCTAGAGGAACTTGCACTGACAGCTCCACTTCAGAGCCAGGATTGAGCCCTATTTGATGATTCAGTATTTCTGCAAGGGCAGAGGTGAGCATTAGAGCTAGACCAGCTAATGCACTTCTGGTAGATCAGTCCCAAATATCCCTATTCTCTGCCTAGTTTGAAAAGGTCATGTCTGTCTCTGGGTCTTGTTCTGAGCCCTCACTCACCACCAGTAAGTCTCTACCATCTCGATGTAAGTTGGGAATAACTTCCTTCATCTCCTTCCTTGGCCACTGGGGAAAATCTTCCTTGTAGTCAGGCAGCTGCATCACCCCAGGCCAGGTCCCCTCGGTGGGAGTGCCCAGGGTGCGAAAGATCCGGAAGATCTGATCGATCTCAGAGTCCCCTGGAAACAGGGCCTTCCCAGTCACCTGAGAAAAATAAAAAAAAAGCCAGTTCCCACCTTTCCATCAGCTGTGTGCCCTATCTCCAGCTGCAAGCAACCCTTTGTCCCAGCAGATGCAAACAACTGCACAGATTGGGGCAGTTACAATGCAGCAATTCTGCGAGGGAGTGGCTGGGAAAGTCATGAGTGTCTGACTACTTGTTTCCAGCTCCTTTCCATGGATCTGCGCTCCCCCGAGCCAGCCTCTTTCAGCCTTTTCCCTCTTTGTCTCCAGTTTCCTAACATCCACACTTGCAGGCTAGCTCCCTGCCCGCCTACGTACCCAGGCTCTGCTGATCTGCAGCTTGGGGGGATTTGGGAGCTAAGGGTAGTGCTATTACACTGCAGGGACAACAAAAGCTCTTCAAAGTGGAGTATGGACCCCTAGGAGATCCACTCTGCCATGCTATGAAGCGCTACTTCTCTGCAGCCCACTGCAGACACATTTGCAAGAGAATCATCTTCTCCCAGGATCAAAATGCTGCAACAGCAACACTGAAGTTATCCCTTCTGCAAGAACAGGCATCACATTCCCATATACTTGGAACTGCACCCGGACTACAGAGGCTTCTTTGCCTCCTGCCAGGCCCCTGAGGGTGGCAAATTTCCTTCTGAGCCCACAGCTAGGGATCAGCTAACCTGAGGGTGGACTTTCCATAATATACACCCCAGCCCTGGGTAGGACCACAGTATCATAGATGATCTGTGTCTTGTCCCTCCTCCCCCACTTCCCATTGCAGTTGTGTCCTCCCGGCTCTTTAAAGAGACTGGTTAAACCCATTCTACCATTTCTGCAAAGATGCAGCCGATGCTCCAGATATCCACAGAAGTTGAATAATATTTGCATCCCAGCAGTATTTCAGGGGCTCGGTACCACAGAGTCACCACCTGGTAAGGAACCAACAAACAAGCCTTGTCTCGTTTCCCTGGGTGAAACTAGAAGCGTGGGCTCCTCTCTTCTCAGCTGTAATGCAGTGACTGTACAAACCAGACTGTGACAAGGCCATGCTGAATTAACAGACACCTTAGTGAGAGCAAGATTGGGATTAACAGATCGTTCTTCAACAGACACGCTGGAATGAATAAATATACCCTATGCAGAGAAAGTGGGAATGCAGCTTGCAGGCAGGCTAGGGTAGATTCAGTCAGTACGCTTTGTGGGGACATGAGGCAACCCCTTAGCTGTGAGTTAGGTTAAAAGCACACGCCTGAGCACAGCTGCACCTCCATTATGGATTAATAACTTGTGATGCTGCCGTTTTTCACCCACTATGGATTGCATACCCCACTCTCGGGTGGTAGGGAACCACAGCAATACCTCATGAGTGTATGTGCGCAGGGGGACTCCGAAAGCTCTTGCCAGTCCAAAATCAGCCAGTTTGATTGCTCCTGCTTCATTAATGAGCAAATTCTGTGGCTTCAAGTCCCTGTGGATGACTCTGTGCGAGTGGCAGAAGCTCACACCCTGCAGCAGCTGGAACAGGTAGCTCTAAGGAAAAAAGAGATTTCAGACAAGGCCACAATGAAATCACTTTGAGGGCTAGAATCGTATGAACCAACGCACTTTGGATCATTTGGTGTCCCTGCCCACGGCAGGGGGGTTGGAACTAGATGATCTTTGAGGTCCCTTCCAACCCTAACCATTCTGTGATTCTATGATTTACAGACCTGAATGGGAAAAAAGAACTTGCTATCATGCAACACCAGGCTTGCGGGCCACTAGTCAGAGATGTACACAAACGGTTCCCATCCTACATGGGGACAGAGAGACTCCAGTCTCAGCAGTGGCAGTCTCTTCCACCTTTCCATTACTCTGTATAACGGCAATTAGCAATGCAACCCTCAGTGGTCCTCTTAACAGCAGTTTGTTCTGCATTGAGATGGGCTAGAGACCCTAGGAACAGCTGGAAAACAAATGTGCTGAGCAATAGTGCTGGGAGGTTTTTGCAGCTGAAATGTTTGAGATCTGGGAGACTGAATGCCTCCATCCAAGGATGAATCTCTTTCAGATGCAGTCTGGCTAAGAGCAGCTCAGTGCTGGCTCTGCCCAGCGGAAGGCAGCAAGGACACATGCTTTATGCCCTGCCTGTTAGCACTCCTTCCACACTGTACCTTGGCTAAGCTGAAAGGAAGCTCTCTGGTTTGAGTTGAGTCCATGTACTTCTTCAGGTCCTGATTGAGATACTCAAACACCAGATAGAGCTTCTTACGGCTGTGTATGACATCCAGGAGCCTGTAAAAGAGCAAGCACTTCCTTCAGTACCTTTGTATGGGAATCCATGCTATGCAGAAGTCTTAGTCTATTACAGAGTGTGTGGGAAGATCTTCTCCAGACCTCTGCACAAACATACCCAACATCCCTCCTCTCACAGATGCTTCTGCTCTGTGAGTCCTTTGAAGCAGAGAGAGACAGATATAAAATCAGCATCTAATATAGGGCAGCAACAGCTTGGACCAGTCTGTGTTGCTGGAGTAAAGTGGCAGTGCTGTGGGCTATTGCTGCAAACCAGGGAAGTGCAAGTAATTCCTGCATTTTCCTGTTTATTTTGCTCCTTCCTGTGCAAGTCAGGGAAGGACTGGAAGGTCTCTCTTGCTGCCTGTACCCAGAGCTCCCCGTGAGGATGAACAGGACCTCATCAATATGCTGGTGGGGAGGGTTCCTCCCAGTCTTACCTGACTATGTTGGGGTGCTTCAGCTCCCTCAGCAGTGAGATTTCTCGGATTGCGGTGCTGGGAACGCCCTCTGTCTCCCTGTGGCAGAGATGGGCTGTATGGCACCCCGTCCCCCAGCGGGATCCCACAGCCCATCGGAGCCCCGTGTCCCTTCTCCCTTCCATTGCGTTCCATTGCCTGCCCAGGGGAGGGTCTCTCACACCGGGTGCCCTGGGTTTGGGATGCAGTTGTGTGTGGGGCAGGCTGGAGCGAGGCAGGGGAAAATGGAGCCATGGGGAAGGGGAGGAAGAGGGGGGGGTGAACTAGGCAGCGCAAGCTGTGGGGTAGAGCTGGTTTGGCAGCACCTGGGGACCCATTTGCAGCAACAGTTTAAATGCCCAAGCCTTGCTTTTCAGAGGTGGGGGGAGATGAAGGCTCTTTGTCCCTCAGGCAG